AAAGAAGCCTTAAAAAAATTTATGCTTTGATGAGATTCAAACCAGTGACTTCCATTACTAATTTGTTGCCTCTACCAAACTAAACTGCAAAGTTATACATAAGGAGTACAGCAAATTTAAAGGGTTCCTCTACCCTACAGGAGAATCTGATACAATATGTAATGAAAAAAACTTCATTATAAATTTTAAATTGTATTTTCTGATTTCTTGTTTTTAAAACAATAAGCTCTCACCCTTAATAAACAACCACTGTTGAACCAAATAACAAGAGGCTGATGCAAATTTCAGCACGACCCTTAACAGGGCAGAAAGTCAGAATTTCAGAATAAAAACTTTTTCACTCTAAAATGCATATGCATGATAAATGAAGGGACTGAGGATAATGATAATTATTTTTTATAGCCCAATCTTCACAAAACATCTCTGCAATATGAACAATATATTCCACCCATATTATCCATTTCCTCTGGTCATTTCCATAAATATTTGGGGTGTTTATGTTGTGAGTTGAAGAGCTGGTTTTCCTTCCAAACACCTAAGAATGCATCACGATTCACTTCAAATATCCAGGGTGTAAAGCTCCCCTGCCCCCCCCCCCTGCTCAACTTGGGGAGAGGGGGTTGGCACCCTACATACAAACTCAGCCTACTCCATAAAGCAATTTTTAGAAGGTTAATTACAATTACTTCATGCAAAGATCTCTATTTTGATGAAAAGTCAGAGAAATGAAGTATCGATCAATATTGCTAAAAACAAATATTAACTAAAACTGTTGACTTGTAAGGCATTTTCAGATAATCATGATCAGTATCCTTATTCGTATAATCTCATGTTACACACGTATTGAGGCCTGATCGTGCCCTAACATTACTTTCCAAATGTGGCATAAATAAGAGATGGTAATTCTCTTAAAAAATAAGGACCAAAACAGTAAAAAGTTTGAAGCGAATTACCACAAGCTCACCTTGAGGGTAGGAAAAGCAAACACTAAGATGTTTCTCCCTGGTGGTAACCACCCCAATGCTTAGCACGATGTCACTACATCCTTCGGGACAGACTTGGAGCGATGAAGTAGTCACAACTGGTTTCCAGGTCCCTTGTAACTTTAAGAAATGTTTCCTCATCTGGCAGGATAATCGCATAATCGATACCCTGTCGAGTTTTCAAGAGGGGCAATGAATAGAAGAAATCTCTTTGAATCTCTATGTTTCTGATAAACTTGCTAACAAACAGTTGAGTTAGAGTAATATCACCAAGTTTACTCCAATAGATCCCGATATCTTTAAGTCGTACTGGCATTTGCGTGACCTTGTAAACGCTTGGGGACTAAAATCACTCGCGTGTTTTCGGGACTTTTTAGCAAATCATACTTATATTCTAGTTGTTCCGTTCCATAAAAATCTTTGTATTTCGATAAAATGGTTGTTTTAAGTTCAGCTGGAAATCCACAAGTTAACATTGCTTCCTTGATAATATCAAAACTGGACTTTTTGCAAACTGACCGAAACTCTTGTTGATTGTGTTCTTGATGGTGCTTCACAATCTCGCGCACTTTCTGTTGAGTATACCTGCACAGATATGGAATAATCCAAAACAAGAGAAAGTCAGAGACCTTGTTCGCCCCAATCTTTGGTTCGTCGTCATTCGATCGGGTGGAATCTGCCTTCCTTTTCTTTTTGTCAAAGAAAATCAAAAGGATCGAGAACATAAGAACGAGCGATCCTTTCATGGGAAACTGGAGTCCACTATTGAGTGGGCTGACCAAATCCTCTTTATTCTGACTTGGTGTATCTTCTGCTGGTGGTGGGTCGATATCCATATCTTCAACCGATGAAGTTGGCTCTTGGGACTCCTCATCTTCACGATCTCGATTGAAACGCGATAGATTCAGATATGACATCCATAGTTTACCTTCTTCGTGATCGATAGCCATGTTCCTTTTTTTGTTTTCGGAATTTTTAGCGTACCACATGTGGAAGGGCGGTATTTCCGGATTTGGAACAAAGAAGGATCCTTTGAGTCGCAAATGTGTTTAGTGACGCGACTCAAAACATCTTTCGCGCTTCTATCCTTGTGTCCACCATCTCTCAACTCCAAGTCTTCCAAGAGGATAATCGGCGAAAGGTGCACTAAATTGTCGCTTTCGTTCGGACTGCAACAGAAACGGGGCTCAAGGTCGAATTTTTCACTTAGAATATCTCCATCTAGGCCAACGATTTCCGCTAAAGTACTCATTTTAACCGCCAGATTAGTGCAAAGGAAAAAGGCTCCAAATATTAGGACAAAACCGAAACTAATTACAAGAAGGTAGTTCCCAGGCCTACATATTTCTCCACGGCCACCTGTTCTTCAGGATTCTGTACCTTGCTTTCCACAAACCGTAGACTAAGCGGGTGCTCATGTTTGCTCATGCTAATTTTATGTTTGTGCTGCAAACACAAAAAAGAAATGTTTGATTTGCAAATGAATGAATGAACGAGCCTTAATTTAAGTGTAGTTAAAAAATGTAGTCAAATTTGATCGTCAAATTTCTCATGAGTGAGAGCTATGCGTTGAAGGGACGTTATGTCTAACACGTATTCTTAGTAGCAAAACACTAATTTCTGTGAAGGAGTTATGTCTCATGCTGCGTAAGAAACTATTGAGATTATTGACTGTAGTTCCATGGAGTTCTGCTTCAGGGAGGCAGAGGCAAGTGGCGCAGAGCGAAATGTAAAAGTTATAAGCTATTGATGGTTGCTGTCGAATTTAGTTGGTTGGTTATAAAATTGTGCGTTACAACAAAATTAAAATCGATTATCTTCGAGTTAAAAGTTTTATTGTTTGATCAAAGACAGAGATAATAAATATCTTCATGTTTATTTCTAAATTAGCAAATAAAAGGATACCATACATAGAGCTACAACTAAATGAATTATGCTTACCTACAAAAAATGGCGAAGATCTTAGCGCGCTCAATTACTTTTTTCAAATTTTTGCTATGACTTGCATTCATCTCTCCCTCTCCCTCATTTCAAATACTGCCTTAGGTTACACTGAATGGTCAAAAATCTCAGGCAACATTGTTCGGGGAGAGGGGGGAGGGGGGAATTCCAAGAAATTTATTGGAGATGAATTACAAGATTTTCGTTTATCATGCCGAGTGGAGGTTTGTCGACCACTTGGTAAAGGGAGGCGTGTCAGTGAGTCAGTAGCGTAGGCAGCCTATAAGTCCGCCTAGGCCCGGGTCAACAAATATTTTACCGCCTGCTTGACTTTTAGAATATGACTCTTGCGAATATTGAAACAAAACTGGAACTCTCTCAAGGAACAGGCCTCAAACAAGTCAAAGAGTGGCTAAGCCCCAGCAAGTTAATTAACGCAATGTTACGAAACACCACTCCAGCGTCACACGCGAGAGAAACGTGCGAAAGAAGCGCGAGATTGAAAGACGAAAATTTAAAACAAAGATGGTGGCGCGAGGATTTTTTTCTACGTAGGTGAGAAGATTACCTAAGAGCTTGTATTTGATGTGTTGAGCGGCCGCTGTGGATGCAGGAGAAAGAAACTAAGATACCGAAGACGATTTTCGGAGAAGTAAAGGTTGCTTTACTTCACATTTAAAGAAATATTCAACCGATATGAAATCTTGCGACGGCGGAAAAAGAACTCAAGTGAAGGATAATCTACCTGAAGTGGAAGAAGACTTGGAAACTTCAAGGAAAATAATATGATATAGCCAGAAGTCATGTGTAGGATTTTTAAGATGAGTTCGGGAGGCTGTCTTTGACGGCTGTTTAATGATTCTCTTAGCAGTAA